CTCCCTGCTAACACACACCCTGGGAGGCAGCAGGTGATGAGTCAAATCCTTGGATTCTGGCACCCCTGCGGAAGGCCAGGCTGGGCTCCAGGCTAAGTGCTTCTGCCTGGGCCAGCTTCAGCTGCTGTTGCATCCAAGACGTGAAGCAGCAAGGGGAAGGTTATTTATTGCCTGTCCCTCTGTCATAAATAAACATATTAATGAATGAAAAATAATAAGTAAATCTAAAGAGGACTTTGGACTCTAAAAAGGAAGCATCCAACACACAGAGAAACACAAACAACCTTTCAAGGAAAAGGAAAAACGATTTAGACATTAGAATCAGGAACCTAGAGGGTAAAACCAAGAGCCATGGAAAGTTACTCAAGCAGTAGACTGAGCCTCCAAACATTAGCTCATATTTCACAATTGGTTTGGCACCAGCAACGCCTCTGAATTCCCCAATTTTCTCTGCTTTTGAACAGGAACACCAGTAACAGTCACATTATCCCTGTCCCACAACAGGGGATTTGGAACAGAAAATTTGTCCCTTTGGTTCACAATATATTGAACAGAACGATACTTTAGAAGCTGCATTTAATGAATGGCAGCCTGAGGAGTATTATTTGCATGTAGACGAAATTTAGACAGTGAAATTCTGGATTTAAACTAATGTTATAATAAATGAGACTGTTAGGGCATGTTAAGGGAGGGTCAACATATTTTGAATATGGGAGGAAAAGAAATAATTGGTGGCTCATTGGCAGACTGGTACTTTAAACTCTGATCATAAAAGGCACAATTCTCTCCTTAAAAGGTGGAGCCCGAGACAGGTGTTTGGTACAGCTGTTAGGTTATTGTTTGACATTCCTATAACTGGTGTCGAAGATTCTGGTTGCAGGTCCTGCCTTCACTCTGCATTCCAGGTTCCTGGTAATGTGCACCCTGGGAGGCAGCAGGAAATTGCCCAGTGACCTGTGCTCCCACACTGGAGACCCAGACAGAGTTTGAGGTTCCTGACTTCTGCCTGGCCTGGTTCGTGCTGTTGTGGACATCTGGAGAGTGGACCAGTGGATGAAAAATCTGTCTGTCTCTTTCTGCCTCTCAAATAAATTTTGAAAATAAAAGTTTTTTTTTAAAGGCAGATCTTTTCTTTTTTTTTTTAAGATTTATTTTAAGGTACATCTTAATTCCCTCTCATTGCCTACCAGCTGGTTGGATAGCTCATTTCTAATCAATAAATTGGTGTTGTGTGATGTCTGAGATCAGGTCACTAAAAGCTCTCTCTGCACTTGGGGAAACAACAGTCCAGCAGTCTTGGTGAAAGACCCTGACAAGGAATATGCCTTGTTATCAATGGTCATGTGTGTTATCTATCTGATGAGCGGCTCCTAATCCAGGGTCCTTCAGGAGACAGCAACACGGGCTGATATCCTGACAGCAAATTCATGAAAGAACTTCAGCCAGAACAGCTCAGCTAAGCTGTGTGGCAAATGGTTAGTAAGCAGCATATAACTAATAGAAGCTACCACAGATCATTTCCTTAAGAGCAAATCTTTGCTGCACTGAAAGAAATGTGAGGGCAGGTGTCTGGCTAACTAAAGTGGGGTTTAATTACCAGTTCCTGATTCCAGCTTCCTGTTCATGCGGCCCTCCAGAGGTTGGGTACCCGGATCCCTGCCACCCACGTGGAAGACCTGGATTGAGATCCAAGTTTTAGCCCAGCACAGTCCCAGTCACCACAGGCACGTGAAGAATGAACCAGCAGCTGGGAACTCTTTCTCTCTCTCAAGTAAGACAACAAAAGTTAAGAAGAAAAAGAAATTTGAAAATCCTTGTCTTAAAATATGGCAGGAAGATAAAATTAATAGGTGTTTCACAAAAGAATTAACCTAAATGCTTTCTAACCTCAATCTTTTTCATCTCTCCCTGTGCGGAAACGATCATTCCGGAAACTGACTTGGGTAATCGTGACCCACATGTCTGCCCTTTCCCACTATGAAGTCTTCTAGGCATGAGTGAACGGGTACTTGTAAGCTAATTCACAAAAGGAACATCTAAGCTTAAGAAACAATAGAAGCAGGCACTTAAAGTTATGGCCTCTTCAGTTTAATAAGCAAACTAAAACACAAACATGCTGGCATGTAGTTTAGTACTTCTTTCACCCAGTCTTTAGAATTAAACCTGAACGGTCCTGTGAGGCACTTTCCAGAGAAGTGTAAATATTTAAAAACCACGAATAGCCTCTAAATTTCATCTGACTCTTTTCATTACTTCATACCATTTGTTACTACAATTATTTGATTAATAATTTAGCTCTTTAAGAGTTATTTATTGAGGACATGGTGTGGTAGCCCTGCGGCTGTGGGTACCAGTTATAATCCCGGCAGCCCTGCTTCCCATCCAGCTCCCTGTTTGTGGCTTGGGAAAGCATTTGAGGATGGCCCAAAGCTTTGGGACCCTGCATCTGTGTGGAAGACCCAGAAGAGGCTCTAGGCTCCTGGCTTCAGCTTCAGCTGTCACGACCACTTAGGGAGTGAACCATTGGATGGAAGCTCTTCCTTTCTGTATATCTGACTTTTCAATAAAAATCAATCTTCTTAAAAACAGATTTATTTATTGAAAGGCAGAGTTATAGAGAGAGGGAGGAAAGGCTAGAGAGAAAGGGCAAGAGAAAAAGAAAGAGGAAGGTCAGAGAGGGAGAGAAGACGGAGGCAGAAGGAGACAGAGAAGGAGGGTGGAAGCAGAGACGGACAGGGAGGGACAACGATGGGAGGGAGAAGACACGGAGGAGGCGGGGGAAGGAGTTCCTCTATCCATGGTTTCATTTCCCAAATGGCTGTAATGGCCAGGGAAAATGAGCCGAGCCTAATCCAGGGGCCTAGAAATCCATCTGGGTCTCCCATCTCCCATTTCCTTCCTAGATATATTATCACTGAGCTGGATCAGAAGTGGAGCAGCCAGGACACTGGATGTATAGAATTCCAGTTCACCGGTGGTGGCTTAAACCACTGTGCTACAATGCCAACCCCAATCAGTTCTTAAAGATGGAGCCTCTTTAAAGAAGCCAATAAACCTATTTTTATCTAAACCATAATGTGGGGGTGGGCATTAGCCCTAGTAGTTAAACACTCCTATCCTATGTCAAGGTACCTGAGTTTGATATTTGGCTCTCGTTCCTGACTCCAGCTTCCTGTTAACGCAGACCCTGGGAAGCAGTGGTGATCAGCTGGCTCTCAGCCACCCACATGAGAAACCTGGATTAAGTTCCTGACTCCAAGCTTCAGCCTGACCCTGTCCCTGATCTTGTAAGCATTGGGGGAGTGAACCAACAGGATGTGAACTATGTTGATATTTTGTCTTTGTCTCCCTGCCTCTCAAATATTCTTGAAAAAGTATAAATAGTTAATGTATTTATAAACACAGAAACTTGGGTTTGCATAATGTAAGGCATTGATCATTTACTCTCTCAACATGGTTTCTGTAGTTAATCTTGTTTTCATTTGGAAGGGATTTCTTTCGGCTGAATGGTACACTTTAAAAATTCCTCAAAACTTGTATCACTAATACAACTTGTACTTCAAGGCTTTCATCAAGACCACTGGAATGGAGAATTATTCAGAGTGGAATTCCCCTTTAGCTCTGGACTCAACCTCTATGATTAAATTCTAAAGGGCACAACAAAAATGATCTACCATGGCCACAACAGGCTGTTATAGACACCTCGGCACTTATTTTAGTACCTAAACTGGAAACCTAATATATATAACCATACCCTGTGCAACATGTGTCTATGTGGGCCAAACTCTGACTTGAAGGGCCTGTCCTCCTCATTATGCATAAGGTATAAATCCATTTTTCCTTTTAAATCAAGCTCTTTCTTCATTACAATTTTCACATAAAATTTATATACGTAAGTATTCTGTGATGTTTTCATATATTTATGCACTATGTAATGTTCACTCAATATTAATTTCCTCAAAAAATTAACACTTCTTGTATAACAAAGACACCCAATAGAGAACTATACAGTTGTTCTCTCATTTTTCGTCAGTCATAACATAACCTGTGTAATTCCACTAAAATCACTTGAAAATGATTCAGAATCTGGATCCTCTGTGCAGACATTTTCAGTACAAGTTATATTTATAACTCACTGCTCATCTGGGTACTGTGGTATATATGTACACATGGATGACTGCAGCCATGTAATAACAGCCTACCAAATCAACCTTCCTACACTGCTCTGAACAGAAAGGCACCCACAAGGAGATGAGAACACACAGGGGATGAAGCTCACCCATTTTTGCTTCCTATGACTTGAGTCATTCTTTTTTTTCTTTTTCTTTTTTTGTTTTTAGATTTATTTTTTTAAAAGATTGATTTTTATTGCAAAGTCAGATATAAACAGAGAGGAGGAGAGATAGAGAGGAAGATCTTCCGTCTGATGATTCACTCCCCAAGTGAGCGCAACACCCGGTGCTGTGCCAATCTGAAGCCAGGAGCCCAGAGCCTCTTCCAGGTCTCCCATGCAGAGCCCAGAGCCTCTTCCGGATCTCCCATGCAGGTGCAGGGTCCCAAGGCTTTGGGCCATCCTCAACTGCTTTCCCAGGCCACAGGCATGGAGCTGGATGGGAAGCGGGGCTGCCGGGACTAGAACCGGTACCCATATGGGATCCCGGTGCGTTCAAGGCCACCACGCTGGGCCTGAGTCATTCTTTTTTCTTCTTCACAGATAATTCAGTCTGAATTAGATGTCCTTGAATTCAACAGATCTTTGCTCCTCTTTTAATGAAGTATTTCACCGAGGAAACACACAAGGAAAATGTATACCAAGCACAATGCTACTGTTACTCAAGCTCTAGAAATCAAATGTAGAAAGCAGATACCTGCCTCTTCTTTCAAAGACTGGGGAGCCCCCGTCCCCACCCTGCGTGCTCAGGAGTGCTGGAGAGCCTTTCTGCCTCATTACATCGAGGTTTCTCAAGGAAGGGAAGTACGACCTAAGCACTTTGACTCACAGGGCTCTGCAGGATCTGAGTAACACGTTTCCTCTGCTCCATCATGTTGAAGTCTTGTCGAAGATCTGGAGACATGTTCCTTTCCCGAATGTATTCTGGGTCATTTTCATTGATTCGGTCAAAATATCTCTCTTTGGGAGGCATGCTGGAATGAGGAGGGGTGGTGATCACGCTCTGGCTGGTGTCTGAACTCATGCTTCAAGTCTGTGGATCCCTCTTGTTATCTGCATTAACAAACACAAAGCAAAATGACATTCATGAGAAATTCAGTAAACCTGTGATTTTATATGAGTCAAGCAGAACTTTTATACTTTTCCTTCAAAATGTTTGTCAGGTTTTTTTAAAACATATTTATTTATCTGAAGAGCAGGGTTTTGGAGGGCTGAGGAGAAAGAGAGAAAATAAGACGTGTGTGTGTGTGTGTGTGTGTGTGAGAGAGAGAGAGAGAGAGAGAGAGAGAGAGAATGCTCTTGTGTGCAGTTTCACTTCCCAAGTAGCTGTAATGACAAGGGGTGGACCAGGCTGAAGCCAGGAGCCTGCAGTTCCATCCAGGACTCCCAAAAGAGTGGCAGGCACTGAACTGCCTGGGCCATTTTCAGCTGCCTTCCCAGGCATATGATCAGGGTCGTGGTTTGGAAGTGGAATAGCCATGACTTGATTTGGTGCTCACAGGATGCAGAAAAAAATATGAAGAAATAAAATGAATCAGACAAGTGTTTATAGTTATACACTGAACTCTGACCACTATATGCTTTTCTGGAAGATAATGCTATCACTTAAAGAATCCCGAAGAATTTTTACTGAACCTAATAAATTCATTTCTATAAACAGATAAGTGATCTTATATATTTATACAAGTAAATAATTTTTATGTACACAAGAAAATCCTAAAATCAGCCTGAAATATGATTAAGTTATTTGCCACAGAGGCTGCCCAAAGTCAATGAATATTTATTCAGCATCTACTGCATGTCAGACCTTGTTCCACAGGTAAAAAGGGAAGTGAATCTTTAAGTAAATCCTTCTGGAAGCTCTTGCTGTAGTTCAGAGGCAAAGTTCATGAACGAGATTCTATCTTCCATGCAAGGAAGTCTCCCAGAAGATATCATTTCCCCACACCACAGCAAGCACACACCCAGGGAAGTGACCATGTACCAGGGAATATAAACATGTCATAAAATGTAGGACCAACACTGCTGAAAGATTTAACATTTCAAAAAGTCCTACTGGTAACTTAAAACAGTGTAATAAATTTTCGTAACAAAATATTATACAAGTTTTTAAAAGAACAGGTGAATTCCATACTTGATTAACTAGAAGTGAACCCTTACTTTCTCACTATTTCAGTAAGTTGCAGATACCAAGTATTTGGAACACTGTTTCTACAGTGAAACTTTGAAGATGTAATAGTAATCATTCATTTTTTAAAAATTAATAATAATTTCTTTTTTTAAAAAAGATTTGTTTTATTTTTATTACAAAGTCAGATATACAGAGAGGAGGAGAGATAGAGAGGAAGATCTGCCGTCCGATGATTCACTCCCCAAGTGAGCGCAACGGCTGGTGCTGTGCCAATCTGGAGCCAGGAGACAGGAACTTCCTCTAAGTTTCCTACACGGGTGCAGGGTCCCAAAGCTTTGGGTCGTCCTTGACTGCTTTCCCAGGTCACAAGCAGGAAACTGGATGGGAAGCAGAGTTGCCAGGATTAGAACCGGCACCCATATGGGATCCTGGCGTGTTCAAGGCGAGGACTTTAAGCCATTAGGCCACGCTGCTGGGCCCGTAATCATAATTTCTTAACTCACATAGTCTGATTTCCTGCACTAAAGTTTATTCAGATTTTTTTCACAGTACCTTGTGATGAAGTTCAACTGTTTCAAAAAGACTAGGAGGGCCTGGCACAGTAGCCCAGTGGCTAAAGTCCTTGCCTTCAATGTGCCAGGATCCCATATAGGCACCAGTTCTTTTTTTTTAAAGATTTATTTTTATTATTTTTTCATTGGAAAGGCGGATATACAGAGAGGAGAGACAGAGAGGAAGATCCTCCATCCGATGATTCACTCCCCAAGTGAGCGCAACGGGCCGATACTATGCCGATCCGAAGCCAGGAGCCTCTTCCGGGTCTCCCACGCGGGTGCAGGGTCCCAAAGCCTTGGGCCGTCCTCGACTGCTTTCCCAGGCCACAAGCAGGGAGCTGGAAGGGAAGCAGGGCTGCCGGGATTAGAACCAGCGCCCATATGGGATCCCGGGCGTGCAAGGCGAGGACTCAACCACTTGCGCCACCGCGCCAAGGCACCAGTTCTAATCCTGACAACCGTGCTTCCCATCCAGCTCCCCACTTGTGGCCTGGGAAAGCAGTTGAGGATGGCCCAAAGCCTTGGGACCCTGTACCTGCGTGGGAAACCCAGAAGAGGCTCTGGGCTCCTGGCTTCAGACTGGCGCAGGTCCGGGTGTAACTGTCACTTGGGGAGTGAATCATTGGATGGAAGAACTTCCTCTCTCTCTTTCCACCACTCTGTATATCTGATTTTCCAATAAAAATAAATAAATCTAAAAAAAAAAAAAAGCAAGAAGGAAAGAAAGAGAAAAAAAGACTAGGATACCAAGTCTATTTCACCCACTATTGCTAAAATGTACTGATTTTTTTCTGGGAGGCAAGGGAAAAAAGCAGACTAAGAAGACAACCTTAACAACTGTCCCCTAAATTTAACTGATCACTGGTTAAAACAAACACATCTCTCATCTGTTTCCCTTCCTAGGGCTGGGCCAGGCTGAAGCCAAGAGCCCCAGAACTCCATCTAGGTCTGTCACATGGACGGCAGGGACTCAAGCACTTCCGCCACCACCTGCTGCCTCTCAGGGCAGGGACAAGCAGGAAGCCGATGAAGCTCAGTGCCAGGGGTCTGAACCAGACGCTCAGACATGTGACATGGACATCTCACAAGGTGACCTAAGTGTTTTCCTTAAGCTACTTCCAGGGCTAAGATCTCAGATCTCTGACCTTGAGTAAGCTCAACAAAAAATTACTTCGCAATCCATACTTGACAATATAAATATGGCTCCAGTTTTATTAATGGAAAGTTATGTTTCTCAAATTTTTTCAATAAACGTTTTTTAAAATTTTTTATTTGAAAGGCAGAATTACGACGAGAAGGAGAGACAAAGAATGATCTTCCATTAGTGGCTCACTACCTAACTGGCTGCAATAGTCAGAAATGAACTGATTCCAAGTGAGGATACAGGAGCTTCTTACAGGTCTCCCACATGCATGCAGGATCCTAAGGACTTGTGTCATCCTCTGTTGCTTCCCCACACTCTAATCAGGGCGCTGGACCAGAAGCAGAGAAGCCAGAACACGGGATGCCCATATGGGATGCAGGTGCTGTAGGTGGAGGGTTAGCCCACTCTGTTATTACGCTAGCCCCCAAATAAGTAATCTTTATTATTTGAAAGGCAGAGGCAGATTTTTTTTTCATCTACTGGTTCACTTTTTTTTTTTAAAAGATTCATTTATTTTTATTGGACAGGTAGATTTATAGAGAGGAGAGACAGAAAGATCTTCCATCTGGTGATTCACTCCCCAAGTGGCCACAACAGCCAGAACTGAGCTGATCTTAAGCCAGGAGCCAGAAGCTTCTTCCTGGTCGTCCACATGAATGCAGGGTCCCAATGTTTTGGGTCATCTTCCACTGCCTTCCCAGGCCAGAAGAAGGGAGCAAGATGGGAAATGGAGCATCCAGTACATGAACCAGCACCCATATGGGTTGCTGGTGCTTGCAAGGCAAGGATTCATTCACTAGGCCACTGCCCGGTTCCTACTGGTTCACTTTCCAACTGCTAGCCTTCAGCCACAGCTGGGCTAGGCTCAAGTCAAGGGCCAGGAATTCAATCCAGATTTCCCACATGAGTGGTAGGGACCCAGGTACATATGCTATTACCTACTGCCTCCAAAGGTCCACCAGAAAACAGAAGAGGAGCTGACTTGTGCCCAGCTACCCTGATACCAGATGCAGACAACCCAAGCTGCTGTGCAGTGCTAACTTCCTGATACCCCAGCTCCCATTATCTGTTTCCCAAGACTGAGTCACAATGACAGGAAATACACTGAACTCATTTCAAATAAACATGAATACCTAGCTGTAGGCTTCTCGCATCCCATCTAGCCCAATGAGAGCCCCACATTTTGTCCCAACAAGGGTTATCGTTCTTCAAATTTCATCTTTTCAAGTTTAATCTGGTCATACCTTTCTCTTTAAAATCTTCACTCTGTTCCCATCATCCAGAGGATAAAGCTCTACATGGCTCACTAGTTTATCTTTCCATCATCACTGCGGTGATCTTTTGAGAATACAACTGCTTTACTATAAAAGAACATGAAAGCCTAAACATTTTGTATAAAGAAAACTGAGTAAAGCTTGCTAAACACTTTTTTCAAAGTTCCATTAGTTTTTTAATTTTCTTCAAAACTTCTGCATACATATAGAAAATCTTGTGATTCTTCTGAAGTGTGAAAATACTTTAAAACCACCGTTCCTGCACATGCACAGCCTTTTCAAAACATGGTACAAAGTAATTTAGAGACTAACAGAAATAGAATCTTGATTTAACTCTTGTATCTCATTTGAAAGTTAATTCATTTTTGGGGGATATATACCCCAAACAGTTAAAAATGGGTAAAGAACGGCCTGGTACAATAGCCTAGTGGCTAACTCCTCCCCTTCCATGTGCCAGTATCCCATGTGGGCACTGGCTCATGTCCCGGCTGTTCCACTTCCCATCCATTTCCCTGCTTGTAGCCAGAGAAGGCAATAAAGGATGGCCCAAAGTCTCTGGACCCTGCACCTGCATGGGGGACCCTGGCTTCGGATCAGCTCAGCTCTGGCCATTGTGGCCACTTGAGGAGTGAACCAATGAATGGAAGAACTTTCTCTGTGTCTCTCTTTTCTCTTTGTAAGTCTACCTTTTCAATAAAAATAAATAAATATGTTAAAAAACCAGGGAAACAAAAACTTGTATATGAATTCCACTGTAGGATTTTTTGAATAGTCAGAAGGTAGACACCCAAATGCCCATCAACTGATAAAATAATAAACAACATGTGACACAATGGAATACTATCTAGCCTGGAAAGAAATGAAGTGCTGTTACACCATATGACATGGAAGGAAACTCAAGATGCGTCAGGTAAGGCTGCTTCTATCTGTGATGCTGGAACATCGTGAGT